ACCATTTTTATGTAATCCATATTAATATACAAATGTACCTTCATCGTCCGTCGATACCGGTTCGTATCAATAAGTTAATCATCTATCTGCTGCCGAGGGTTACTTTTAATTTAAGAAAAACATATTTATATACATTATACATAATACACCTAGTATATTCTATATTTCTTTATAGTGGTATTATGTAGTCGATCAAATCGGGAACAAATATTTATAAATATTGTACATGGACTAATATTATGTATATTGTTAACCTATATACCTATAGTTTATCACGTTACGTGATGCACGTATCGAAATCTGCCACGTTGCCGTTTGAAATGTGGGCCAAACTTGAATGCGTTTCAAACTGTGATTTTGTTGTTCAGTTCGGAAACTCGGACATTATTGTGCACGTTATTTCTCTTTGTGGAATATCTCGTGGCGAATGAATGGCGAACAGAAGACGAATCAACCGGCTTATATAGACACTAAACAGTCAAGGCACAAGTTCGAGGCGTGTTTCGCAGAGGCGGTCGGTGTAAGTGGAGCAAAAACGATGGGATTCGGATTGCATAGAACGGAACCCCATAGTGATGTGTAATTAGTATCTAATTGCATATTGTATTCAAATTGCAAATTTCCACAAAATTCTTGCCACGATACATATTAGGTTTATTATGTTGTTCGTTATCCATAGATACACATCAGAATCGATGAATAATCATAAAAAATTATGTACAAATAGCATGCCAACACTTACGAAATTATAATAGCAATTTATTACAAATTTTCTAGTTTTTTACGTTTATACTGATATTATGTATATTATACGAATTAAAAATAAATCCAATATCGGCAATATCAAGATAGGAAAAAATACAGTATAAGGTACAAAGTTTCAAATGTATATCTATAAGGCTATAATATGTATTATATAGAGTACCTATAGACAGTAATATAGTTACTATAATATTTCATACTTCCATGCTTACTGCTTACACCTTCATTTAGTTATTTTAACGTTAAATGGAAATGCAGGCTTACGTAGGTTATAGGTTACAATAATCACTTGTATTATATAATTTGTATTTTTTTCATAAATGTAAAAAAAATATCCATATMGGTTAGGTTAATTCGTACATCTATAGTTAGTTAGGTATATAAGAACAATTTGTAAGTGTTTATTACGTAAAATGTTTTAACAAACAACTTCATTTTAAATCATATTCATTATTGTTTAATGTTTATACAAATAAATTGCATATTATGAACTGACGAGGAAGAATAATGATTAAAGTTACACTGCATATATAACTGATACACCAGTCTTCACAGTCTGCAGATCGTTTTTTTATACCATATGTAATAGCTATAACTGTAGTCTGCAGTAAGAGTGCGTTAGCCCACAATTGGTTTTCGATTTACTTATTTATCAGATGAATCGTGACCAAATATACCAAGTATATAATATTATCTACAGAAATAATGACAGAGACTAAAAAATCGTCACACGATCGTCCAGCGTACGTGAGGAATACTCTAGTTATATAGAAAAAAATGTACATAAATGTATCTATGTTATGATTGGTTGAACAACGGTGGTCAAGTTTAAACTATACACACGTATGTTGATTATGTTTCGGTCGAAGTCTACGTATTCGGACAATGGTCCTATTTTCGGAATTTTCCATCACATACTCCATCCATCACTATAACAGTTAAAAAATAAAACAGAAACATTAAAGTTTATAAAAATACGTTATTCACAAAATATAAATAATGACCGTTAAAATTCGGAAATATTTTTCAGAAAAAAAAAGTATAAAACACGATTACTATAATAAACATATTTAAATAGATACGTCCTTAACGTTAACAGTTTGAATATTTTAATATAGGTATGCCTACTCTATAAGTTTGAATGTATTATAAAATGTAGTTAATAAYAAAACGCTGTTTGGCCAACAACCCTTTAATGCGTATTGGGAAATCCGAAATTGACTCGCTTCGCTCACCTAACTTTTGTAGAAATTGATTTCCCCAAGAGTATAGGTACAGATGATGATCAATACAACATTACAATGCCTTTAGAAACTATGAAATGATAAATGTCATATACTTATATATTGTTATATACTTATATGTATATAATATATTTGGTTTTGCAAAAGAATGGTTATATACTTATATATATATATATATACTATCTGATAAGTTATAATGTATTGTTTTGTTATTATTCGTTGGATCTAAAAAATGTGCTCGTCAATAATAGATATATATATAGGTATACAATATGYAGACATTGTATATGTGGACGTGACGAAGAATGCGAATGGAAATAGATAAAATAAAATATCGAACAGGCGACGTATATTCATGTTCTATAATCTATATTATAACATTTTTACATATTATTATAATATATACCCAAATATTATACGTATAACTGTAGAAAAATAATTAAATAAAATAACCTATTTTGGTGACAAGCTGATTACACATTTGACTTTTTTCCTCGCGGATCCAATGGTTCGTGTCACGTCGTATTTCAATCATTTATATGTTATTCGGTCGTCCGATTACTTACATCAGACACAATCCGCAACACAATAAATGCATTGTGTTTATTATGGTTTATTGTGTATTCTTTATTTATAAGTAGAYTTATATAGATTTAAACATAGAAAATGTGCGCGCGTGTCTGACATGATTGTCTAGACACTTAAACGTTTTTGGCGGATCATTTGCCACTGAAACTGATCAACATGGAGTTCGAAAAGAATTTTCTCCAGCTTACATTTATTTTGTTTTAATCCCGTGAACATATTTTTWTGTTTATCTATTGAACGTTAGGTACCGTAGGAGAAACGCAGATTTCATAAGAACAGTTGTTTCGAAGTCCTGACCTACCATCATACGTCGGCGGATTCCTTCCACGTACGTTCCAACTATTAGCGTCCTAAGACATTCCAAATAGGCACCATTAGCACTTTTTCTGATRAATTTAACTATAGACTATATAGAGTAATAACTGCTGGATATCGATTAACTGACATAAACCTAGCCACTGAAAATCTTAAAATTCTCCTGCTAAAATGACAGCTAGAATTGTATAATTTATGGAGATTATAAAAATCAACTACTAAAATCTACTCATCTCTTTTACTCTTCGTCTAAAAAAAAACCTTGAATTCCTTTTCGTACCTATCACTAAACTTTACCCACTTCAACGCGTATCTTGATTCTAGACTCTATAATAAAATATACATTTCTGATTATTGAATAATATGCAGGAATAGGTACAGCTTAGACATTTTACTAATTTATATTCAAAAACTGTGATTCTAT